AGATAGATAGATAGATAGATAGATAGATAGATAGATAGATAGATAGATAGAAACGTGCACTCAAATTCCCACAGTGCTTTGCGTTGCAGAGTGGATGCAGCGCGTAATATACCACGTGCCTGGGAGTCGTATTACTTTAGTTGATTTCATGCCCGCAGGCTACAGAAAACTGTGCAGAACCTGTTGGACACGCGCTCTCAGGGTGTGTTGACCAGCTGCACGAGCTACTTCCGGTCTGTCTTTTCTCCGCGGCTCGTCTCTGTTCGTGACGTGGAGAACAAAGGTCGCGTGTCTGACATCCTGTTTGTTTTCCAGGGACCGTCTCGCTGTTTGCCTCGCGCACAGACGTTCAGCTCATCTCCGGGTAAGTTTCACCTGCGGAGGTTTTCATCTCACGAGCTGGAAGATGTCAGCAACTGACATAGCTCGAGTTTAAAGGGTTTGGACGAATGTTGGAACTGAGAGGGTTTTATTAGTTAAAGACTTCATCACTAAATCAACAATCAAAGTAGTATTAAACGCAAAATCTGTACAAAATGAAAGGCTAGCAGTCTTTCCATCACCTGCTTCCTGTTATACCAGGGTTTCATATTATTGTTGATAGTCAGGTACTCTCAAGGGTGTTAGCAACAACCACTCTAAAGTTTAGTTCTTTATTTGTCTCGTTTAATGATTGATTGCCATTTTGGGGCAGCTGTGGCTGAGTGGTTAGAGCAGTCGACCTCCACTGGGAGAGTTGAGGGTTTGATTCCACCAGCTGTCACATTTTTGAAGTGTCCCTGGGCAAGACACTGAGCACCTCATTGCCTCCTATGTGTGTCCCATCAGTGTCTGAATGTGATCTAAAGCTCTGATTAGTCAAGTCAGCTTTATTTATAGAGCACATTTAAAACAGAACCTGTTATCAAAGTGCTTAACAACAACAACATTAGTCTCTACAGATTCACACTATCTTTGTAGAGAAGTAGTAGAGAGCTGTATGAATGTGTGTGTTCAGTTGAATGAGGCACAGATTGTTGTAAAGAGCTTTGAATATCTTGATCAGATAGAAAGGCGCTATAAGTACAGCCCATGTACAGCCAGCTCGACACCCAATGTTAATAAGTTTTAAATGGTAAATGGATTGTACTTGTATAGCGCCTTTCTATCTTATTTCAAGATACTCGAAGCTCTTTACAACAATCTGTGCCTCGTTGGCCCATTCATACAGCTCTAAACTAGATATCTGCAAAGCTAATTGAACAAATCATTCTAAAGAGACTAATCAGAGCTTTATCACATTCATACACTGATGGGACACACATCAGAGGCTATGAGGGGTTCAGTGTCTTGCCCATGGACACTTTGACATGTGACTGCTAGTGGATTCGAACCCCCAGCTCTTACATTGGAGGACGACTGCTCCAACCACTCAGCCACAGCCGCTCCTTTTTAACCAAGACATTGCACAGTAGTTAGCTCTTGGAGTATACGTTGTGGATTACAGTACTCTTAATTACTAACATACAAATTTTTAAAACAGTAACTGCAAAATTGACCAAGTTATAGTTATTTTATATTTTTCAGGTCTCTCTTGTAAATGAGTCCCCGGGGCTCAGTGGGATTAACCTGTATGAATAAAGGTTGAATGAATGAATGAATGAATGAATTTCCAAAGTTCATTTGACTGTGGTGGTCATCTGGATTGACTCCAGAAGTGAACTAGGTGTAGCTGTACATCCACTAATTATGTCCTGAAAGTTTAAATAAAATCTGCCCTGTGGTTCCTGTGATATTTTTCAGAGTTGACTCCAAATAGTTAATGGCAACATTTTAAACAAAAATCTTGTGCATTTTCTCAGAGTTTGTAACTAAAAGTAACACTTTAGTTGTCATTTTCTGGGACGAGAAGACAGACAAATGGATAGAGAAATATATAAATTCACATTCTGTGAATACTTCTCTCCAAAGTGAGCGCACCTGTTTTGATCTAGTTAAACACACACACACACACACACACACACACACACACACACACACACACA